GATACGGTATATGGACCAAGGCTACTTTCGAAAACTGACCGAATAATTCAGAGGATCCAAAATGCTTGTGCCAGGTATATACACCACATTCCCCCACGAACGCACGTCAGTCCCTATTTAAATAAATCAAAGTTATTAAGAATGTCCCAATTAAGAGAACTACATTTAGCAACACTAATGTTCGGTGTCTTTCAAAACAAAAAAGCCCGGGTATCTATTAGAAAAACTAAAATGGCGCAAGGACGGTAATTTTAAGGACATTCGAACAAAATCAAATGTCCTTTCAATACCAAAACACACAACGGCAGCATTCCGTGGTAGTTTCCGATATGCAGCTACTAAATGCTGGAACAACTTGCCCCCACCTATCCGCCAACTAAATACCATCAGCCTTTTCAAGGTAAAAGTAAAAGAATATTTTTGTCACGTTAACATTTAGGGCGGATAAAATAGCTGCATTATATTATATTTTCATAGTATAATATAAATATCTATATTGTTTTATTGTAAATTCTCATTATATTATTTATTATATACATTTATATATACCTACTGCATAAATAAAGTTCCCATCCTTTTTCATTACCATTTTTTTATTTTTTTATTTTGATAACATCTTTCTCGAAAATAGAAATAAAGCGAACATACTATTCCTCGCAGGCGAGTCCAACCTCAATGGGCATTGCTGAAAACCAACGCTACCGCAATCCTGCGATAGCATTATGTTGAGTCAGTGCCCTTTTCAGCATCACATCACTCATGCAATTGGATCATTTTATGACTGTTTTTTGTTATTTACTTTTATCTTTGATGTTTTTATGTATTATTTTATTTTCTGTATCAAAACTGTATGAGTGTAAGTTGCTGAATAAATGCATGTCTATGTCTATGTCTATGTCTATGTCAATATTAACTTCTCATTTATTCAATAAGAGAAAAAAATTGTTTTCTTATTGGTCACCACGCTCAAAAAGTGTAACTTGATTTAATATCAAAGACTGAACTGCATAAATAAAATAAATAAATAATTATAATTGCATAAGTTGATAAAAAATGCTATGCAATAGCTTTACCGCGGCAGTCACCGAGTGCCACACGTATTTTTTTTGACAAAAATTATTGTTGCTGTAAATAAGCCAGATTTAGAACGAAAGCCATACTCTTAAAGTAGTAAAGTAAAGTTACAGCCTATATACGTCCCACTGCTGGGCTTAGGCCTCCCCTCATTTCTGAGAGGGTTTAGGGCAAGGAAGTGTCCGCCGCGCTGCACAAATGCGTGTTGACGAACTTCACATGTCTTCGAAATATTTTTTTTCTTATTCCTCAGACATGCAGGTTTCCTCACGATGTTTTCCTTCACCGCCGAGCACGGGGTAAATCAGCACTTAAAATTGCAATTAACAATTTCATTGGTGCCGGCGGGGATCGAACCCGGGTTACTCGCGTTCTGTTATATTTACAGCGAGCGTTAACCACTGAGCTACCACGGCTCTTACCATAGAATACCATAGAAAGCCATACTCTTGATCAATAAAAAAATTCTTTTTCCGACAAATAGGTGTTTAAATAATTATACAAAATTCGAAAGAACTGGCAAGATCGATATGGGGCTATAATTATTTCGGCCAGTTCTACTTCCGGATTTATAAACAGGACTTACCTTGACCACCTCGAGTGTATCGGGAAAAACACTGCTCTGCAAATACACGGTAATACAATATATAAGTTTGTCAACAATAACGCTCACTTTGCCAGAAAACAAGCGAATCTGCGTCTCTCGATATATTAGGAAACTTTGAACTTGGAAGGTATCGTTGTATCGGCAATAAAAGTATTGGCGAATTCGATATATCAGCAAACCCAAAGTATCGCCTATATATCGGTATCCCTATAATAAATGGACTGACGAAACTTTGCTTGTAGTAGTCCATGTCATAGTAATTAAATTTAGACATGCGAGCTAAGAGCGGTAGTAGCACGAGGACTAAGCGCTCGCTGTAAATTTTACAGTACACGAACTCGATCAGTACACGACCAAGACTTCGATCTCGTTAGTAGTAATTTTAAGTGCTGATTTATCACGTGCTCGACGGTGAAGGAAAACATTGTGAGGAAACCTGCATGACTGAAAATTTTAAAAAAATGTTGCAAAAACCTGTGAAGTCCGCCAATTCACATTGGGGCAGCGTGGAAAACATTACCTGGCTCCAAAACCCTCTCAGGGATGAGAGGAAGCCCGTGCAGCAGCAATTATTGCCTATGCCAGTGGAACAGGCAGGCAATTATTTCACAATCTATTTATTACTCTACTATGTCAGCCAACTATATTACTCTGTCGTTGGTTGTCGAATAAAATTACAGATGCGTTGTCACCCCTGAGGACAAAGATCGAATGCCTTTTTCTTCTGGAGCCTACCCATTCGTGCTACAACTATACTACTAATATAGCTGCAGCATGGGTTTACCACGTCTAGAATATAAAACCTGATTGAAACCCTGAAGAAAGAAGACTATAAAGCTTATTTTAAGTCAAAATTCCATTCATTACACAAGTTTCATAAATACAAGGAACATTATAAAATAAACTAAACAAGCGACACGAAAAGCCAATATAGCCGATGTTTCACCATCTAAAAAAAGTGTGTTTGGTTTTAATGCATAATAGAACTGTCATCGTAGGGGACGAGTCCGCAGGTAGCACAGCAATGTGTCAACCGCTCTACTTGGAATGTGGAGAATTGGATAATTTTCCAAACACAATTTCATAGAGTTCTTATATTATATTTAAACGGAGACTCAAATTAATTTGACACACATTACTAATAACATTGATGCTATCTATTCCGTGAAAAACTAAAAAATTGAAGTCACCTAGTTTCCTTTCATTATTTACGTCCAAACTCATTTTTCTGTCTCGTTTATATCATAATTCATAGCTTCTCTATTTTTCTTTCAGTTCACGAGTAAAACATATGTAAACAAGGGTATTTTTTTTGATTTTATTATTTTTGAAGAATTACCGCAATTTTTTTAAATGGCATACAACTGTTTGAAATATTACTGTACCTAATGTTTCGTTGTATTTCTTACCAAAAATCCAATTAGAGAAATGGATTTAGCGTGGCGGATGGTAAAATGAAAGAAAGAGTTTTCACTCTCAAACGACTCTTACATTACTAGACCCATTTTACTAGAAACAAGGTATTTCATCTTAAACCTCGCGGGTGACAACGCTTCTGCATTTTTCTGTTTCTGTAGCCTTTTACAGTCACCTCTTAAAAGCTTCCAGTACTACTTACTTACAGTTACTACCAAAAAGCCGGTATTCCGGTTCTCTACACTCACCGTGCGAAACACAGTAGAATTAAACTGCTATTTTGCGCTGGTATTCTGTGAGAGCGTGATTCTTCCCCAGTCCAGTAGATTTATTATGAGCGTGCTGCAATTATGATATGTTTGTAGCATGGCTCTACCATGGTAGGTACTGAACTTATGAATAAAACAATTGGTAACGCTCTATACGTAATATTTTTTTTGTTTTGTCACTAATAGTGACGTAGATCTTTTTTCGATTAACAATTAAAATGCAGATGCGTTGATACCCGCGAAGACTATGATGTAATGCCTCGATTCCAGTAAAAACCGTTAAGCTGCTATTTTACACCAGTATTCTGTGAGAACGTGGTCCTTCAGCGGTTGAGCGGACCCATTTATGCTACAGATATACTAATAATATAGTTGTAACATTGCAGAGATTCCACAATGAAACCGCGTAAAAGTTATATAAAATGCAAATGTTTATTATTTTTAGGTCATTTGAGACCATATTTTATTTTTGTCTTATGAAAGAAAACCGTTTAAGCGTTCGGGCCCGCGACGGCATGGCCATTATCCACCGAGACATTTTCGAGGTCAGACGTACATTGTTTTTACCAAATTTTCCCCGCTTTAGTAATTTCTAGTTTCAAGATTTTTGTACCCTTTTGACTATAAAAACTCAACTGCCAAAGTGTGGCAAAGATGAATTTGACAAAAATGCCTTATTGCTTGCAGCAAAAGATATTTTTTGGTTGAGGCCAATGTTCAGCTGTGGGCTTTGATAGGCTGTAATGATGATGATGATGATGATGAAGGTATCACTTATATACTAAAATGTCATCTAAATAATTGTAATAAAAACTTCATCAGGGTAAAATTTTTCCCTCAAATCTAAACGGGACAATCCTTAATGTATCTAGTTTTGTAATACTTGAAAAAAAAATTTATGAGTTCTGCCCTTTCTGAAAAATCGGTGAAGATACATGAAAAAAAAATCATTTATTAATTTATCAATTACAGCTCGTCAAAGCCGCCATTGTTTTTCAGATTTTGCTTGTTTCATTTTCCCTCTATTTCCTCTTACGACCACAGACGAGATGATATGAGGTAGTGGTTTCTCATCCTCATTACCTCGAATATAGAACCTTTTCCTTTTTAGAAGTCAACTGAAAACTCAGAGTCATCGACCGTCATAAACAGTAAAACATACACGGGAGTTTGGCCTTGGGCCAAAGAACATTATGGGCCACTTAATGGATATTTTTATCGTAATGCATTTTTCTCGAATGCAATTGGTTTCCCATGCGGTTCATGGACTGATTTTCACAGTTATACGAGGGGATTCAAATAAATTGGTTTTTGTTTTTATAGAATAAGGGTGACAAACGAGCACACAGTCAACCTGATTACATCTACATATACCCCCGAATAAAAATCAAAATGCAGATGCGTCGTCACCTCTGAGGACTAAGGCGGAATGCTTCGATTCCAGTAAACAAGGGTCTCCGATATTTACACTCACCATACGAAATACAACAGTCTTTAGCTGCTATTTTAGGATGGTATTCTGTGAGAGCGTGGTCCTACTCCGGTTGAGCCGAGCCATTCATGCTACAACTAATATAGCTGCAGCGTGGCTCTACCACGTAAAAAATGTATCGTGAAATGTAGACCAACAAATGTTATGTACATTTGGACTTCAATTGGTATGTTAGGAAAGGGGGCGGGGGCGCTCTAGACAAAACACAGGATGAATTTCCTAGTTAAGCTTCAGATGGCTACGTAAATTCGTTTTATGTTATTTATTTATTTTTTATAGAACAGGGGGCAAACGAGCATACGGTTCACCTGATCTTAAGTGACTACCGCCGCCCATGAACATCCGCAACATCAGGGGAATTGCAGGTGCGTTGCCGGCCCTTTAGAAAGGAGTAAGCTCTTTTCTTGAAGGTCCCCAGGTCGTATCGGTCCGAAAAAAATCGCCGGTGGTAAACCATTCCACAAAGAGGTCGTACGCGGAAGAATTTTATTTTAACGAATAAAGTTAAAAAGCCTGTAAGTTCATTTGTAACTGGTTTGTTATGGAAATAAACAATTATTATTATTGTGGGATATCTATATAGTTTTCTCATCTGGTTGGGTTCTATAAATATATAATTATAAATGAAAATGAAAAGATGAATATACATAAATATCAATAACATAAAATAAATATAAAAGTACATAAATAAATAAAAGCCCAACCAGATGGAGGCCCTCGGCAGGGGAGACCAAACGGGCGAGGGTTAGGGGGAAAGGGAAAGAAACCGGCGGACGATGCGGGCGGTATCGAGGAGCACCGCCTTCTGCATTTGAACCTGGAGCGGTCCGCCACGTAGTCCCAGCCGCCTCAGATGACCCGAGAGGCTGACTGGGATTAGCCCGTTTGCAGAGACGACTACAGGAATAATTTCGGTCGGCAGACCACCCCACATGTCGGTCACCTCGTGAGCCAGGTCCAGATATTTTGTTTGCTTGTCTGTTTCGGCTTTCACGAGGTTCTCGTCATACGGAATGGTAAAGTCGACCAAAAATATCCTTGACTGTGCCCGGTCCATCAGCACAATATCAGGCTTATTCGCAAGAATAGTCCTGTCTGTGATGATGGCCCGGTCCCAATAGAGCCTGGCGCGATCATTTTCGAGCACGGCTTCCGGCAAGTACTTGTAATACGGCAATTTCCGATCCACGAGACCGTATTTCAGAGCGAGCTCCTGGTGTAGAATTCTGGCTACTAGGTTGTGCCTGTGCAAGTACTCAGAGTTAGAAAGCGCCGAACAACCGGAGATAACATGCCTAAGTGACTCACCGGGATGGCGACAAGCTCGACAGATGTCCACAGTGCCATCCTTTAGGATGTATCTCCGATAGTTGTTGGTCTTAATAACCTGATCCTGTATTGCACAGACAAAACCCTCGGTTTCCCCCGAAGAGATCACCAAAGCGTAGCCAGTGGAGGGAGGCTACTGTGTCTACGAAAGGCTCATGTAGAGCCTTGTAGAACCTCCCGTGGAGCTCCTTCTCCTTCCATACGGTCTCCCGGTCGGAAATGCTCTGCACTGCCGGGTCTTGCCATTGCTCGTTGGCTAAGGATAGAGGGGTAAGCCCTTTATCACAAGAAATGACGTCCTTATAGAATGGATCATCCGATCTCGACAGGAAGTAATCACGGAGGCTGCACACTTCGCGATTATGCATGGTGAGCGCGCTCAAGAAGCCACGACCACCATGCTTCCGCGGCAAGTACAGCCTCATTACCGACGATCTCGGATGATGCATCCTATGGGACGTCATGGTAGTGCGGACTTTTCTATCCAGGGCGTTAAGTTCAGTCTGAGTCCACCTGAGTATGCCAAAGGTATACATGAGGACAGGCATGACCCAGCCGTTATATGCGTGTGCCTTATTCACACCGGACAAATGGCTGTTAAGCACTTTGGTCAAGCGTGCATAAAACACGTCGCAAACTGACTGTTTCATACCAGCCTCATCGATACCGATGTTCTGTGACATACCCAGGTATCGGTATGTTTCAGCCTCGGAAAGGGTTCTTAAGTTGACGGGCATAGATAAGTCTATGCCCTCAGAGTTAGCAACCCTTCCCCTTTCAACAGAGGATCGCACACTTATCCGTCCCCAGCTCCATTCTAATAGAATTGCTAAATTCACACGTGATGTTTAGCAATTCCATAAGATGAGAGCGACTGGAGGCGAATAATTTGAGGTCATCCATATAGAAAAGGTGGGTCACTTTTTTACCTCCTTTCCGAAGCTGAAATCCCCTCCCGGAGCCCTCCAGTAAAGTACTGAGAGGGTTCAAAGAGAGGCAAAACCAGATTGGACTCAGACAGTCGCCCTGGAATATACCCCTTCTTATCCTTATGCGGCTTTCCGCAGCCGTCATCCGCTCGCCTAGATGACAGAGGATCGTACTCCACTGCCCCATACACCGCTCGAGGAAGTCTCGAACTGTACAGTCAATCTTGTACAGCTCGAGGACCCTCTTTAGCCATGTATGGGGCCCCGAGTCAAATGCCTTTCTGTAATCTATCCAGGCGGCGGAGCAGTTCCGACGGCTGCGTTTCACCACTTTGCCAATGACCGCGTCAATGAGGAGTGGTTCCTTGGTTCCACGACCGCCGCCCCGACATCCATTTTGAGCGCGCGACATCACCTGATTTAAGTCCAGGTGACGAGCGATTCTTGCGCTCAAAATGGATGTTAGTGTCTTGTATATGGTCGGTAGACACGTGATGGGGCTGTATTTGCTCGGGTCTGTGGCACCCTGATCTTTAGGAACCAAATGAGTGATCCCAGTAGTGAAGAGGCTTGGGAGCGACTTCTGGTTGAGAGCCTCTTGAAACTGTCGGGCGAGCACAGCGTGACACATCATGAACCCCTTCAGCCAGTAGTAATGCAGCCCGTCAAGCCCCGGACTTTTCCAGTTCGGGGCCCTACGGACCGCCTCAGCTACGTCATCCGGCGTTATGATGACGGGGTCCATGGGCGTAATACCCGCACACTGACTCGCCACAACTTCCGTCCAAGGGCCCTCGTTGTGGTTTACGGGCTCTGACCACAGGCTGCGCCAGAATGCGACCGTGTCGGCCTGATTTGGTGCAGGGCCCGTTCCACTTACTATTGGTCGCTCCAATGATTTATAAAGCCTCTTCTGATCACTCTGGAAGAGACGATTCTGGTTGAACCGTGTCGACCTCTCGGTATATCGCCGAATCCGCTTTCCCCAAGCAACTATTCTTTGCTTCAGGTCGTCTATGCGCTCCGTCAGTTTTTGCATTATATCCGGCTGGGACAAACTAACATTTGTCCCAGCAAACGCCATCCTGACGGTGCGCACATTCCTTGGCCTGGTATTGCCTGACCTGAAGCATATCAGTCTGCCGATGAGGGCCCTAGCCTTTGCGATACGTTCTTCAATTCTTATTCTCCAGGCTGGGATAGCACTACTTTGTCCAGTAGCGTGTCCAGCCGTAGAAAGATTGGCACCTATAATACGGGAGACTGCCAGTGCGGCGCCAAAAAGAATTGAGTCCGTCTCGCAAAGGTCCCGGCTGGCTTCCAAATAGGTAACCAGCATTGGGTTCAGAGCCCTCACGACAGCCCGATTCCGCTTGCTTAGGGCTAGCGGGGAAGTCGCGGTCGATTTTCGAGAGTCGTACTGCGCGTTTCCACAATCGCCTCTTCCAATGTACTCCTCATTTGCTCTAGTTCCAGTTCCTGGGTGACTGTTCCATCATCGTTTGAATCAACCACAACTGGCGTATTCACGGCGGCATCCACATTTGCCGTTTGCTCAGCAAGTTGTGGCGCCGCATCCTCAGCCGCAGCATTTTCACCCGATGAAGAAACAGCCTCACGTCGTAGCCGTTCGAGTTCGGTGACATCAAATGTATTTGAGCGCAAGATATACCGAACTCGGTCTGCCAGGTTTTGCTCGGTGACACCAAGCCAGCTGGTGGGGATGATGGATGCGAGGAGCTGCTGGGTGGTCGTGCAGCACCTCGCGCTCGGCTGGCGGTTCGCATGCTGTCGCATCCAGCGCCAGCTCCAGACGCGCCCTGGCGACCTCCAGGCAGCGGCCCTTTGCGCGTTCCATTTGATTCCATCATCCATTTTAGGGCGTCATTTAGCGGGAGACGCCCAGACCCGGCGCCGTTTCATGGTTAGGCCATGTGCACAAGCGGGCCTTGGCACCTTCAATTTTTGCCGAGGCACGGCACTAACACCTCTTGGCAAGGTGCTGACTGACTGCGCTGACGTAGCGGTTTTGTCACATAACCGTTATATCAGCGGGCGATGGGGTCGTCACTTCCCTACGCCTATTTATTTATTATTATTATTATTAATTTTGCACGATCCTGTCATTCCTTTCTTCCATCTTTCAAATTCATATATCTACGCATGCATACCGTTACCGTTACAGTGTATTAAAGCCTACTGCTGATTACTAATTTTTCAACTTCTTCGACTTTTAAAGTAGTTGCTACGACGAGCTGTGGGATCGTCTTCCAGCGAATCTGTTCATTGCTTAAAGTTGTAGTGCTGCTTTAGATTGTAAGTAGTAGTGTCACTGGTAGGTTTTCGAATGTTTCTGAGTTTCAGATAGAAAGATTGTGACATTGCAATTTGCCTTGTTTAATATATAAGTACATCATTGCGACGTCCCTTGTTCTTTAAAATAAAGAGTTGTTGTGCACCCTCGCATTCCCTACGCACATCAGCCAAATGGATTAGGGTGCTGTTACACTAGATCTATTACCAAGTGCGAAAAGTTGAGAGAGTTTTATTATTTCATTGGCACAGATTATTTTAATATTAATTTTTATAAAACTGAAGGGGCAAACAAACAAACCTCTTGACGTGGCTAACTTGATGAAGATGGTTGAGGATGTTCATGAATTATTCATGAACATCCGCAGCCATCTTCACACAAAGGATGTTAAAGATGCTTTATCATCTCTGAAGGCTCTACTATTCTTTTAGGTATATATTAGCTATAATTGGGATTTACAATCATGGTTTCCCTAGGACACCAGTCTTCGAAAACGTAGGATATCTTTATCAAAGTTGTTTCGTTATTTTGTATTTTCTGATTAAAACACATATCTATAAAAATTCTTATGAAATTTATGTATTTGCGTGAAACTTGCCTTCAGTTTTTTATGGACGTACTGACTACAAACTAGCACACATTTAACCTGGTGGCAAGTGAATGCTAAGACCTACATCTATCCTCAATTAAGAATCAAAATGCAGACGCGTTGTCATCCTTAAGGTCTAAGATGGGATGCCTCGAAACCAGTAAAAAGGGTCTTTGGTTCGCTACAACTCAGATACGAAACACAACAACATTGTGCCGCTGTTTGAAACTTTACAATGTATACAGTTTTGGTTAATTAACAATTAATAGTTAATTAATAATTTATACGCTGCCACGCTGCAGCTATATTATGGTTACAGCACGAATGGGTCGTCTCGACTGGGGTGGGACCACGCTCTCACCGAACATCAGCGTAAAATAGCAGCTTAATACTGCTGTGTTTCGTATGGCGAGTGTAGAGAACCGGAGACTCGTTTTACTGGAATCGAGGCATTCCATCTTAGTCCTCAGGGGTGACAACGCATCTGCATTTCGATTCTTAATCGAGATTAAATGTAGATGTCTATGGGCCGCATCCACTTACCATCAGGTGGACTGTGTGCTCGTATTCACCCTTATTCTATAAAAAAATCTCCGTTATATCATCCCGTGGGTGTCGGAAGCGATAGAAATGACACAGAAGATGGGCAGCATCATCTTCCTGATAACAATATGGTTGCGGTTGCCAATTCACTTGCCAAGTTTGGCAATTATAGCAAACATAACCCTACGAATTATATGTTATATGGAGCGGACTTGTGATAGACTGTAATAAATCAATAAATGAAATAACTTATATGCAATTCCGACTATAAGTTTAGATTTAGATTATAAGTTCAAGTTAGAATTCTAGACAGATCGTGTGCAATATCTGCCTTGTTTAATATATAAATACATCGTTGCATCGACCCTTGTTCTTTGAAATAAAGAGTTGTTGTGCACCCTCGCATTCCCTACGCACATCAGCCAAATGGGATTAGGGTGCTTTTACACTAGATATATTACCAAATGCGAAAAGTTGAGAGAGTTTTCGCAGTAATTAGGTAATTGGTGTTACAGAAAGGTACTACAGTAAGTAATTCTAATTTTCTGTAACAACTTTTATACCTGTATTATGCAAATAAATGAATTTGATTTGATTTGAAAATCAATAACTGTTGATTAACTTTTTGTTATATTCACTAATTTCTTACAACGAAATTACGATGGATAGACACCTGGGCTAGATTTTTATTTAACACCGCCAAAAATATATTATATATAACATAGCTTATTTGCAAAATACGTAGTTATAATCTATAATATAAAGTCGCCAGATGGGCGCCGCTGTGGTGCTAGCCTAGGGCACTGTCAACATTTAATCCACCTCTGCACAGTAGCTGACCCTAGTGATCTATATCAAGAGTTAAAATTTTCAGAAACTATTAATATATCTCTATTCTATTCTACTAAAAATTATGAAACAAGAAAAATCATATATATTTGCCAAATTTCATTGCAATACCTCGACAGTCGCAGATGTTAAACTCATTTTAGTCTTAACAAAATTTTAAAACATGTCCCAATAAAGTATTACAGGATTTGAGACTTATAAATATAGGATTTTGAACTTACGATATTATACGTAAGAGATAGATATAGATGGAGATAAGATAGGGAAACGAGCACACAGTCCACCTGATGGTATGTGGTTGCTGTGACTCATGGACATCTACATCTATCTTCGATTACGAATTAAGATGCGGATGTATTGCCACGCGTGAGGACTGATGAAATGCTTCGTTTCCAGTAGAAAGGGTCTTCGGTTCTCTACACTCACCACACGAAACACAGCAGCATTAAGCTACTATTTGACGCTGGTATTCTGTGAGAGCGTGGTCTTTCCACGGGAAAGCTGACCCATTCTTGCTACAACTATACTACTAATATAGCTGCAGAATGGCTTTACCACGTATAATACCATTCTTGAAACGGTTCTCTGTCCAGCGACAAACTAAGAAAGAAAATGTCACAAAAGCGCCTAGTTTGTTCGGTACACATAAATACATAATTATGTTACGATAACGAAAAAATTATATCTTTTTCTTTACCTGTCCGCAAAAGTACAATGATGGACATGGGTCTCTCCCTTACTTTTGAGCATTTTCCTTAACCGTCACGTCCGTTCGATTTACGATCGCGGTATCAGACGTCTCGCAACTTTGGCAAAATTTTATGTTTGTTATATCTATCATATAAGCACTAAGCGAACGCACATACTTGTTACGCCCTCATGTGAGAACACCTTAACAAGTGTAAAAATAAAAAAATTCTTTCGTTTCAGATACGCGCAGTGAGATGGAGCTGTTGACGGATCGCACACGTCTACAGCGCGGAGCATCCGAGCGTGCTTCGGGCGCGTTTGCGTGACTTTCCCGCTTTTACTAAGTGCAATGTGACATTCACTTTGGTATAACGAAAAAAAAAATTGATTATGCTATATTGAACTTGTGTGTAAAGGAATAATATATCCTCTAAAAATTGTTTATAATCGGTTTAATTTTTTACAGCGGTTATAATAAAGTGAATGTCTACAAATCTGTGAAATGTGATGCAAAGTGAAAACAGTGAACGAAACAATTATGTAAAGTGATATAGTGATGAGGAAGTGAACGTGTTTCCCCCGGCGTCAGTGGATCGCTGAAACAAGTGACGCTGAAACATGAAGTGATCTTCATCTAGTCAAAATTAAACATGAAAATGCAAGTGGAGAATAGTGTAAATTATAGTAGTAGTAGTACATGTAAGTCCAATATTATTTTTCTTTTTCATATCATGGCGGGAAACTTTGACAGTTCAACTGTCATATTAAATATTATATCATTGATTGTATATATGTATTGTAAATGACCAGTATTTTAGCAATACATTTCAAATTGATTAGAAAAAAAAATATAACTTTTAATATAAACGTGAACACACTCTTAATGCCATTTTAATGGTTTTAATCAAAGGTTTCGTGATTCCGTTTAATAAATTGAGATATACATTTAAATATGCTATAAATTAATTATAATGCATTAGATTGAACAATTTGTACCATGTTTGTTTACATAAAATCCTCCAGTAATGGTATTTCAGTAAGAGTAAATAATAAACGATGGAAATAATAATTTAATTTAACGATTGTTTCTTGTTATTATAAATTTTTGTTAAATTGAACATAAATAACACTTCATTTATCATTTCAGTAGGACTAAAATATCTGAAATATGGAATCACTGCAATCCAAATTTATTAGCAAAAATTTGGTGTTTACAACGAATTGTTTACATTTTTCTTTAATTTACGATATTCTAAATAGATTTTGTTTATCAAAATCATTTTAAGGTGTCAATTCTTGTCTTTCATATCAGCGAGATCAAAGTCGACTATTGGAAATTTTAGCCATCATTTTCCCATGCTTAGTAAATAAATACTGTAAATTACTTAACTACTGTTTTGTTATTGCGTAAGGTTTTCATTTTATTTATCCATGTAAGTTCAATGTCGTTGTGCGACCTAGACAGAACGAGAACGAGTGCAGCGAATCGGTGAGCGATAACTTCCGATCGAATTGGGCAAGGAAAACAAATCTAAATTTATTTGGGACTTGGATCGATCAAAGCAAAATGCACAACTCAATTGCAGATCGATTTTTACACGGTCAATGGAAGCTGAAATCACTTCGAACATCATGGAAATTTTAAAACAATAAAACAGACTATTTTACGATTTTGCTGAATGAGAAATACGTAACAGTACAAGTGCAAGATACGTTGAGTAAGAAAAGAAAACTGTTACACGTTATCACTGAAAAGCGCTGCCACAGTGGCAACTACATAGAGTGAGACTGTGAATACGAGCTATACAAGACGTGACAGAACGTATAGATAAATAAAATCTGAAGTACTTATAATGTAAAGTATTATTACAAATTACAATTAAGTATTAT